GAGACATTGAAGTGGAAGAGTTGTTGAAAACGAAGGTGTTAGTTGATTCTTGGTTTGATGTCACTACCTCTCTATAAAGATGTCCAGTACCTTCCTTTTGCTTAGGTTGATGGGACCAATGTTGTAGGGCCAAAAAGCAGTTTGTAGTCTAAAGAAACGAAATCTTCAATATTGGACAACTTTTTTCAAGTGCTGTTGAAATATGCTATAAATTTGGTTTATATTTTTTTGTTGTTCTGTGTGGTTTTTTGTTTGGTTTTTGTTTTTATTGGTTTTCCCCCCTTTTCTTTAAGTTCAGAGCTGGTGGAGGGGGGGCGCGAGCCTGGTCGGGGGGGAGCAATGCAGTACCTGAAGATGGGGGTCGTGGGTCAGAGATGCAGGGGTGTGTCCGGATTAAAGTCCACTCCCACCGTTCACTGCGTCTGCGCACAGCCCTTGGCCAGTCCCAAAGTTCAGAGCTGGCGGGGGTGGGGGCATGAGCCGGGTCGAGGGGTGGGAAGCAATGCTGTACCTGAAGATGGGGGTCATGGGTCAGAGATGCAGGGGTGTTTCCCGATTCAAGTCCACTCCCACCGTTAACTGCGTCTGTGCACAGCCCTTGGCCAGTCCCAAAGTTCAGAGCTGGTGGGGGGGGGCGCGAGCCGGGTGGGGGGGAGCAATGCAGTACCTGAAGATGGGGGTTGTGGGTCAGAGATGCAGGGGTGTGTTCCCCATTGGCTTTTTAAAAGATAGATATTTATGCCATTTTTCACTGGAGACTGTGGAGATTAAGAGAAGAAAACTAATTTGTCAAATTAAACATTGAATTTGGAAATGTCTGATTTGGATGCCATAGGTTCTACTTAGGGACAATATTGCAGGTTTAAGGCCATGGCCTCTGGACCTAGAAATCTGACTGGGAACTCAGCTCTGTTCCTCCTGACGAAGCAGCCTTAGACATGGCATGACTGTCCTCTCATCTGTCCAGTGAGACTAATAATACTGCTGATCGTGTTGGACTGTTACAATGAAAAAATGAGTTGATATATTAAAAACGTTTGATAGATATATAATAACTGCACAAGTGTTAGTATTACATTGCCAAGACATTTAGGGAATCATTTCAGTTGTTCAGGGCTTCCCTTCCTGTCATTAGCCTCTTCAGAGCCCCAGATAATGCTGAGAAGTGTGGGTGCTTACAGATTACAAGAAGATCCACTCATTTCCTCTTGCCTACTGGCCTTCACCTGCAGGGCAGGCCTTGACTCCAAAATATTTTGAGGAAGAATCATTTTGGTTTAACTCTCCTCACACTGAGGGGAATTCTGTTGACTTAGAGGGTAAAGAGCTGCACTGCCAACCAAAAGGCTAGTGGTTCAAATACACCAGATGCTCTCTAGGAGAAATATGGACAATCTCCTTCCATGCAATTTATAGTCTCTCAAAATGTAACCAATGGCAGCTGGTTGAGCTCAGTTCTCCCCTTACTGCTTTGATGTTTATTTTGTTCCACCAGTTATGCTTTCTCTTGAGGAGACAGCATTATATGCCTTAGGTTAATCAGTTGATACCCACTGGGGAAGGAACTGAGTCTGCTAATGTGACCAGCATATTCACAAACACTTTCCCCATGGCTGGCTCTTTCATGACTCCTCTGTGACAACTTTGAGTGATGGACTGCACCCTGAGATGAGGTACCACAGTTTAGGAGTCCAAAGTTAAACCTTTATTTCTCAGTTTCCTATTTTATACTCAGTTACTTAATGGACTCGTGTACTTTTCTGTGCTGGGAGTTAAATATGGAGGGTTAAGTCACTGCCTTCCTTTTTCTCTATTTCTCTTGCTGTCATGTTAGTGGCTTACTTATAAAGAGTTGCTCAGCTTACATAAAAGCACATGGTTTTTGTACACCAATGCTTACTGCAGCATTCTTACCGTCTCAAGAACATGGAAATAGCTCAAATGTACAAGCACACTGAATGAATTGAGAAATTGTGGTACATTCACACAATGGAATACCATGTAGCACTCAGGAGCAAAGATTTAAAAAAAATTGCTACATAAATTGGGAGGGGCTGGGGAGCATTATGCTGAGTGTACTAACTTAGTCTCATAAGGACAAATACTCCATAGGACCATTATTATAGAAATAGAAAGATAACTAGTAAAATGTGGATGAGGATCCAAGTGTGGGGGAGAGTTGGAACAGAGGGTGAGAATGAGCAGAGAGGAAATAATAGGGTTGCACAATTTAATGGATGGAGAGAGGTGAGTAAAGGAAATGGAAGTTATCCAGTGGGTACCTGGAAAAACAGGACATAGTTCAATGTTGATTAATTTTATAAAATATAACGAATGGGAATGATAGTATGAAACATAATGGGAATGAAGGAGAGTGTGAAACCCAATGTATACAAACTTAGTAAGCACACTAATATAAAACATTATTTTTAAAATTTATTAAAAGAACAACAATAAAAAAGCAAAGGCACATGGTTCAAAGCTACCATCCGCTTTGCAGGAGAAAGACAACCTCCTCCCATGGGACTTACTACCTCTTAAAACCCATTGGAGGGTAACTCATTGGTTATAATTCGATGGTACACAAAAACAACATCTGCATCTACAGAGCATGACTCTCAGGATGATATTTACTATGTTTGCTGTTGTTTTCAGAGGCAGTAAATTGCACTGGGGTTGATTGCCCATATTTTTCCCATGAAACAGCTGGTAGATTTGAACTATGTGTCTTTGAGTTGACAGCACAGTTCCTTTCCACTTGGCCACCAGCCAAGAGTCATTAGAAAAATACTTGGGTTCCTTTTCACTCTCTTCCTGATATGCAGTTTAAAGGGGGTGTGAGGAGTTGGTTGTGCCCCACAGGGTATCCAGTGGCTGAGTTTTCATAGTTCTATTCTGACATATGAAGTCATCATGGTAAAAATTGACTCAATGAGTTATTTGGCTTGGATTTTAGAGGGTAGTGCTAATGCCTCCGAACTGAATGGGGTTTGTTTTCCTCTGGCAGCTATGGATTGTGTTAAGATTTCCCTCCAGAACCTCTCCAGGCTTGCAGACACATTCCCAGCTCCAGAGGTGAGCGAGGCTGTGGGTCTCATTTTGGACTTCGTGAAGGATTCCTATCCCATCTCTTCTGCTCTGTTCTTGGAGTTCGAGAATGGGGAGGGTTACCCCCTGCTACTCAAAGTGTTGCTTAGGTAAGTAATTGTGCTTGAGGGAAGAGAAAACAGAGCTGCCAGAACATACATTTTCATTCTTGGGAATGAGGATGGGGTTGGAAGAAGATAGAGAATGATACTTCTCAATGTGTGCCTGCATCTCCACAGAGTAGCTAAAGATACTTGTACTTGTAAAAGTACAATATGAGACACTGATGATTCAATTGTTTACTTTTAATTTTTCGTAAAGGACCTGGTCAAGGCATCTATCTCATGCACAGTACTGATCTATTGGCCAGTGGAGGCTTGCTGGACAAGATTTAAGTGGTGATTATAGGCTAAGATGAACTAAGTAGAAGGCTAATGTACTTCTAAAAATTAGCTATTGAAAACCATATGAAGCAAAATTATCTGATTTATAAGCAATCATGGGAATGGTTCAAGACTGGGCAGTGTTTCATTCTAAGGACTGACTTTATGGCAGCTAACAAGTTCAATGTGCAGCCAGGTTTAGGGACTACTTCATTGGAGTGGGCATAGTTTTACCAAGTTGACTTGGTATCCTACACTTGGGTTGTTGTATCTTCATACTGATCAACTTGACTTCTGCCTGAAACCTGTATCTCTGAATGGCACTACTATAAACTTGCTCTATTGGATGCTCGGTGGAACTGAAAGTGCCAGAGAATTAACAACCCCATACACATCCCTCTACCAATGTCTGACCAAAGAGAATTTATAAATACGCAGTAAACTTGCCCCTTAGGTGGAATAACTCTGTGTTCTAGAGTTCTCCAGAGGGGAAAAAAATGCTCCAGTGTGTACTTGCTTGATAAAGCTCCTGTCCTCTTCACTTCCCATTTTGAATGTCTCTCCTGATGACCTTTAATGAGATCAACTGCCAAACTCACTCTCAAATCCTTGACTTATGCAACAGGCAAATGAAAAAAAACACACAAAAAAAACCCCAACAACATTTCTCTGGGGTTTAAATCCATTGAATTAATACTTCTACTCTGACACCATGTTTAGTTTGAGTCCGGGGATTAGATAAAGCCACATAATGAAAAACAAAGAAACTTCTTAATGACCCAAACTCTTCCAATACTGTTGGTGTAGTGTCTTAATGGCCTGGCCAAATGTGCTTTAGACCTTACTCTGTGAATCTGAGAAATACTTTTCTAAGAGGATGCCACTTGTCACCACATTTCACTGACTTCAACACAGAGACATGCAGAATTTAGAGATGGGAACTTGGATGAGATCTGAATCCCAGCACACCACAAAGTTTTCTAAAAACACTTGAGTAGCCTTCCTCTAAAGGGATACTAGGAATAAATGTCTCTATTGATACATAAGAGGGAGACTTGGTCACTTAGTGCTGAGAAGTTATGCTGCCAAATCAAAGGTTTGCAGTTTGAATCCACCACCTATTCCATGACAGAAAGATGGACAGTCTCCTCCTATGCAATTTACTGCCCTGAAAACTTACTAGAGTGGAACTATGAATTGGTTCTGACTTAATGATACATAACAGTAACAATAACAACATGAATACATAAGGCTATAGTTGTGGTTTATGTAAGGCATTGTAAGTTCGGAATTTAGCGTCCAACCTTTTTATAACATAGCCTCTCCTTTCAGCCCTTCTTCCTAGACAACATCTTTAGAAATCTTTGCCTAGAATCTGTCTTTATATATTTAGGGCAGGGATATTGAAGTAGGCATATTTAGAGTGGGACAATCGTGACATACTTGTGTAAGTCCAGCATTTTGCAGTTAGTATTAAAGAACAGGTAACTTTATTAACAGTGGAAGGTCTAGAGATAAGCATTTAACTAAAACTCATGGAATTTTATAAAAAATATAAAAATATTGCATCTCTGGACCTATAGATAACATCATAATAGATGGAGAAAAGATTGAAAAAGTCAAAGACTTCATTTTACTTGGATCCACAATCAATATACTTGGTACCAGTAGCCAGGAGATCAGGAGACGTATTGCATTGGGAAAGTCTGTGATCAGTAACCTCTCCAAGTTATCAAGGAATGATGATGTTAGTTTGAGAATGAAGGTACTACTGATTCAGGACATGGTCTTTCAATCACTTATTATGTTGCTGAGCACTGGACATTGAATACGAATGACAAAGAACTAAGACCTTTTAACTGTGGCATTGGAGAAGAGTACTGAATAGCTCATGGATGCCAAAAGAACAACCAGATGTGTCTTTAAGAAGGTGCAGCCAGAGTACTCCTTGGAGGCGAAGATGCTGAAGCTTCATCTCACATACTTTTGAGCATGTTACTCAGAGAGGTTATTCACTGGAAAGGGACATTGTGCTTGGGAAGGTGTGGAATGGGTAAAGAAACGAAGACCCTTAACGAGGCGGAGTGACATGGCGACTTCAGCAATGGGCTTGAGTGTGTCAGATATTGTGAGAATGGCACAGGATAGGACAGGCTTTATGTCTGTTGTTCATAGGATTAGTATGAGTCATACTCGACTTGACAACACTTAACAACATGGAATTTTAGACCAACAATGGAATATTAGACCTTCACAGACTCCAACTGACTTGGAATGACTCCTTACATAAGTGCTTTTAGTATCTGAAGAGAGGAAGAGCTTGGGCTCCAGCCTCAAGTATATGGTGCTATTGCTTCCAGCAGCTTTTTCTTCTCATTGGTATGCTGTCTATCAATTTCTTTGTCTCCTTTGTTCTCAGATTGGGTCCATCTCCACTGAAATTTTATTGCATTAATTCTTATTTCTCAGGAACCTCAATGTTTCTCTCTTGACACAGAATATACCATAAATTTACAGGCACCTCCATCTTGGACTTCCTATTGGTAACTTGTTAGTTGTTATTTTCCAGTTTTTGCAGGATATCATGACTAGGATTCCATTTTGTTTTAGTATCGTGTCACTTTTTTAGCCATCATTGACAGTATAAAGAAAAGACAGAATGACAGACAAACATAAGTGCCCAGTATTGACTGCCTAAGGCAGTTGACTTGCTTGGGCCACAGTTTACTGATAATGGAGGCCTGTGCTTTAGCAATCCTTGACATTTCTGTCTTTAATCCAGAAACAATCCTGATCCAATCAGTGCTGGGAAGGGAGGCTATCAGTTCATTGTTTTTTTCTTCTGTCTTAACTGAAGTAACACTTAAAGACCCATGACTCTTGAAATGGCAGAGCTAAAGTCAATCTTTAGGAGTCTCATCAACGAGAAGAACAAGGTGGCCTGTTGTTGTTGTTGTTATGTGCCGTTGAGTCGCTTGTGACTCATACTGACCCTATGTACAACAGCCCTAAACTCCGCTCAGCCCTGTGCCAATCACACTGTCTCTGACACTCCCTTCCCAATTATCCCAGTCACTGAATTAATCCACCTCATAGAGGGCCTTCCTCTCCTGTGCCGTCCCTCCACCCTCCCAAGCATGATGTCCTTCTCCAAGGACCGGTCTCTCCTCATAACATGTCCAAAGTATGTTAGACGGAGCCTCAGAATCCTTGCCTCCAAGGAGCCACCCGGTTTAACCCTTTCCAGGATGAATGTGTGTTTTCCTAGCAGTCCATGGTATTCTCAATACTCTTCTCCAGCACCACAGCTCAAAGGCATCAATTCTCCTTCTATCCTTCTTGGTCATTCAAGTAACTAAAAATAAACAAGAGTAAAACAGTCTGATAAGACCTCACTTTCCTCCATGATGACTACTTTGTTGCTGCATAAAAGTATCATCTCTTTCATTTGCGGTGTTCCCCAGCCCTGATCAGCTCTGAACATAGGTCTTTTGGTCATTCAGCTCTGGAAAGTAGCCTTCCTAGCCACTTCGCTAGGCTTCTCTAGTCTTTAGAGCAGATTGATACTTATCAGTTCAAATCCTTGTTGTTGGATGTTGAATTGCCTCTGGTTAAGATCTTTGGCTCTTTCCCAGGACACAGTGCAGAAATTATAGAACAATATAATGAATAACACATGGAAGCAAGATCCTGCTGAAAATTGTCCAGAAATGACTGAAACAACAAACACATCAAGAAAACTACCAGATGTGCAAGCTGGGTTTAGAAAAGGCTGTGTTACTAAGGATAGTAAACCAATGTTAGATCGATCTTGGCTGGAAGTAGTACCAGAGGAATGTCTGTGTTTAATTTACTATGCCAAGGCATTTGACTGTGTAGATTACAACAAACTGTGGCTGACTCTGAGAAGAATGGGAATTCCAGGGCACTTGATTGTGCTCACACAAAACCTATACTTGAACCACATAAAAAACCTGTACTTGGACGAGGAAGTAGTTATCAGAATAGAGCAAGGAAACACTGCATGGTTCAAAATCAGGAAAGGTGTACATCAGGGATGCATCCTATCTACATATCTTTACAATCTATATGCAGAACAGATCATCTGGGAGGCTGGACTCTATGAAGAGGAATGTGGCAACAGGGTTGAAAGAAGACTCATCAACAACCTGCATTATGCAAGCGACACAACCTTGCTTGCCAAAACTGAGGAAAACCTCATTGCCTCTTGACACTCCTACTTTCATCACCCTGATCACTGAGTCAATCCATCTCATCCAGGGTCTTCCTCATCCAGGGTCTTCCTCTTTTGTGCTGTCCATCAGCTCTTCAAATCATGATGTCTCTCTCCAAGGACTGGAAGGCATTTGCTGCAGAAGGTCAAGGACTGCAGCCTTCAATATAAATTGAAGTTCAACATCAAGAAAGCAGATTCTTATCACTGGGCAATTGATAACATCAAGGTAGGCAGTGAAGAGATTGAAATTGTTAACTGCTTCAGTTTGCTTGGCTCCAAAATCCTTGGTACCAGCAACCAGGAAATTAAAAGATGAGTTGCACTGGGAAAATATGCTGTCGGGGATCTCTCCAGAGTACTGAACAGCAGTGATGTCAGTCTGGAGACTAAGGTATGCCTGATCCAGGCCATGGTCTTCACAATTACTTGTGATGCATCAGAGATCTGGACAATGACTAACAATGATAGAAAAAGAATTGATGCCTTTGAGTTGTGGTGCTGGAGAATAGTATTGACTCTACCATGGATTGCTAGAACAATTAAATTTGTCTTTGAGAGGTGAAACCAGGCTGCTTCTTGGAGGGAAGGATTCTGAAGTTTCGTCTGACATACTTTGGGTATGTTGTAAGGAGGATCCAGTCCTTGGAGAGAGACATCATGCTTGGAAGGGCTGATGGACAGCACAAAAGAGGAAGATCTGAGTCGGTGACCGGGGTGATGAAAGTAGGTCTGTCAGAGGCAGTGAGGTTGGTTCAAGATAGAACAGGGTTCCGAATTGTTGTACATAGGGTCACTCTGAGTTGCAAGTGACTTGACATCACATAGCAACAACACCACCCTATGAGGAACATCACAGAAACTTAGTTGTTTGTTCAAGAAATCTAGGATGTTCACCTTGTTGTCTTCACAGGTATGACAGGTTGTCCCAGAGTGAAATTGACCCCCACCTGGAAAAGCTCTTCACTCAAGTGATGTGGCTGACAACTTGCGGAAAGTCAGAACTAAAGGTGTTTGACAGCATCACTTACCCTCAACGTGAAGGCTTCAAGTTTCGTCATGAGGCTTCTGGTAGGTGTGTCTTTGGTCTCCAATTGGCAGAAAAGCTCAAACAGAATCTTTGTGCAGAACAAAACATTTTCACCTGTCTCAACAGAGTCTAATTCTTCAATAATGTTTGAGGAGATTATACATAGATGTTATTATGTTTATAGATATTACCTAATACTTACAAGTTTTCCAAATATTCTGCCTCAGTTTCATTCACGCTATGATAAAATTTGTCTTGTATGTGACTTAGGGGAAATTTTGCCTAGGAAAAAGAATAAATTTAAGAATGGAGTATGCCTCTGTTCTCCATCCATACCCAGGACCTCCTCTCATGTGACTTACTGTGCAATGTTTGCTTATGTGTTACAGACAGACAATCCTGAAATAACCATCCAGGGTCAGAATCACTTCATTCTCAGTACCTTGAGTATTGACTGAGCTCAGCTACTGTTGTTATTATGTGCCATTAAAGATTACAACTCATAATGACACCATGAACAACAAATTTAATATTTGTTTTATCCTGCACCATCCATAGTCTCCAACATGCTCGAGCCCATTGTTAAAGTCATTGTATCAATTCACCTCACTGAGGGTCTTCTCCTCTTTCTCTGATTTGTTACCTTTCCCAGCATAATATCTTTTTCCAAGGATTGCCTCATTCTAATAACAACAACATGTCTCAAGTATGTGAGACAAAGTTTCACCATCTTTTCTATAAGGAGTACCTTGTTTGCATTTCCCCCGAGACAAATTTGTTCTTTGGATGTCTGTGGTACATTCAATACCCTTCACTAATACCACAATTCAAAGGAATTGCTTCTTTGGTCATCCTTTTTTACTGTCCAATATGCAGATGAATAGGGGTCAAATGAAAATACAAGGTTTGAGTCAGGTACAGTTTAGTATTTTTTTTTACTTTTATTTTTTT